TAACCAATTTTTTACCTTTAAAACTCCACTGTATCCCCACACCCCGGGATAGCTACACCTAACCTGTCGGGACAAAACATCCAAATAAACATAAACACGGACTTGAACATACCGAACTTTCACTCTCCCGCTAAATCGCTCACACAGCAATCTGTTCGTCACCCCCCCCCCCACCCACACACACACACTATAAATAGTAACAACTCAGCAGTTAAATAACACAGCACAGAATTTGACGCTTGGCTTGCCTTAAAAACACACAGACACCCTCTCCACGCCTGGTCAGACACAGTGTTTCTTCCAGACTTTTTTCTCCGGGGGGGCACTTGAAATCTTCGGGGGGGCGGTAAACTTTCTTCGGGGGGGCGGACACTGTTAAAAGTATATATTTTCTATATAAATTATATAAATTTCATTTCGTTCGGGGGGGCGGTAAAAATTTTTCGGGGGGGGGGGCTTTGCCCCCCCGAAGAGATGCCTGGAAGAAACTCTGGTCAGACAGATCTACCCCCTCCCCCTCTGCCCACACCACCCTCAGGCATGATAACCCCACATCCCTTTTAACTGTTCCAACGACCCCACCACCCACCCCAACATCAATTTCGAATATCTTTTCATTTATTTATTTAAAGTTCTAATTCTTGCTTCTTTCCTCTCATCATTCACACAGCAACCTTTTGAAAACTCAACGCGACCAGTATATAAATAAACACTCTTTCAACTGGTCAACATAATTTGTTTCACTACATAGAAAATGCTTCACTGTCCCATTGACCCTCTTTGAACAATTTCCTTTCCACTCCCCACCCGGACTCCAGATACTTTCATTTGACCTTCACCCCTTTTTATTTAACTCACTTCCTCTGTCTATCGTCAGTCGTCAGTATGTCTAGATCAAACGCCCGTGTGAAATTGCAGGCACTTCTAACTGACAGATACGGTTCGTAGTTGGTACGTGGGTTTAGACATGAAGACAATGCATCGTGTCATTCAATTTGACTTAATTGGTCGCCTAATTAATTTTTTTATGAATTAATTAAAATTTGGACCGAATTAGTAGGCAATTCTATCCACACGCGTCATCACGACCATGTTGGGCGTGGAGCAAGGGGGGGGGGCTCTACGACAAAAGGGCGTCATCACGTTCAATAGGCGCGCGATGGTTTTTAGTCGAGTCAGCAGTCTAGTTCTTTACCACTAGACTACGCCATCCCATAATACTTTACTGAAACTTTAGCTATAAACTTGACAATGGTTTTTAGTCATGTAACTATTGTAAATAAAGCATGTAAAGTACTGAAAAAAAATTCATAAAAAACTCTTTAATAACAAACTTTTATGTAATAAGACACTCAAAAGTAGAAAATAAATTATACACTACTATTTAAATAACTATGAAGAAAAGCGTGGGTCTCTTCCTAAATATTAGACACTATTATTTAAATCACTAAAGAAAAGCGTGGGTCACTTTAGTATCTATTGGATATTACTAATATTTAGGAAGAGACACACGCTTTTCTTTATAGTTATTTAAATAGTAGTGTATAATTTATTTTCTACTTTTTAGTGCATTATTACATAAAAGCTTGTTATTAAAACGTTTTTTTTTTTATGAATTTTTTTTACTGTTATCCATTTCAATTTTGTATAATCATATACATGACATCATGTAAATATTCATTATGTAAATTTGCAAAACCTTTCGTTTTCATTTGATGTTCGATATTATTTAAAGAATTTGATGTTGATGTAATTGCTTTAAATTGCAAAAAAAAGTATTTAAAAAAAAAATTAAAAAAAAATAAAATAAATAAAATAAATAAAATAAATAAAATAAATAAAATAAATAAAATAAATAAAATAAATAAAATAAATAAAATAAATAAAATAAATAAAATAAATAAAATAAATAAAATAAATAAAATAAATAAAATAAATAAAATAAATAAAATAAATAAAATAAATAAAATAAATAAAATAAATAAAATAAATAAAATAAATAAAATAAATAAAATAAATAAAATAAATAAAATAAATAAAATAAATTAAATAAATAAAATAAATAAAATAAATAAAATAAATCAAATAAATCAAATAAATCAAATAAATCAAATAAATCAAATAAATCAAATAAATCAAATAAATCAAATAAATCAAATAAATCAAATAAATAAAATAAATAAAATAAATAAAATAAATAAAATAAATAAAATAAATAAAATAAATAAAATAAATAAAATAAATAAAATAAATAAAATAAATAAAATAAATAAAATAAATAAAATAAATAAAATAAATAAAATAAATAAAATAAATAAAATAAATAAAATAAATAAAATAAATAAAATAAATAAAATAAATAAAATAAATAAAATAAATAAAATAAATAAAATAAATAAAATAAATAAAATAAATAAAATAAATAAAAATAAAATATGAATTTTAATTAATATGAGTGAGTAAACGACATCTAACAATAACGTACTGGAAAATCAAGCTAACTATTTTAACTTGTTTCTAGAATTCATTTTTAAAACCATAATTAAAAACGTTAGCAACCAAACCATAGTACAAAATAAATAGGGCTCCATGACATTCGTACAAAATAAACACTTTCCTATTAAAACCCATAGATAGAATCAATATAAAAACCACAGTATCATCCATTAGCACGATGTTACACAGGATGAAAATAAAAACATTCTTAAATTAAACACCACAAAGGGGTGCACATCGAAAGTTTGAGTTGGATGCAAATCACCGGAAAGGGCGCGATTTGGCGCTACGGGCTAGACTGTGAGCAATATGCCTTTATGATTGCATTTAAATTGTGTTTATGTTATGAGTGTTGTGTTTGTTTTTTCGTTGTTTTTTTTTGCGTTCGTTTGTGTTGTGTTTAGTTTTGTTCTGTTCCCAAGTTGGTACATTTAAAAAAGATTTACCGTGGCGGAGCACGGGATGCAGCTAGTATATATATATCTATAATATAAGCGGGCAAGTAGTGTGTCAGTCCTTCCTTCCTTCCTTCCTTCCTTCCTTCCTTCCTTCCGTCATCGCTATAGATTTTGGAACCATAAAAGTAAACATTCGCACCATGCTGTGCTTTTCAGTGCACCGCAGTGTCTTATTATAAGTATTAGAGTAGGGTTTGTTTATATAGCGGCATAGAGCTATTTTATAAATGCCACTGTGTTTAATTTTTTGCATAACGTTATAAACATATTAAATATTCGCACTTTGCTAATATAGATTAAAAAGATTAATGTCAAATATCATTTTACTTTATATTCCTAGAAAAAGTGGATACATTTTCATAACATAATAACTGTAGGTTAGAAAAATCTAATTAAACTGTTTAGTAATTTTGCCAAAGGAGGTATTTTAAAAATAAATAGAACTCACGCTAAAAATGTGAATGCAGAATCTGCAAGAAGGAATAATTGTTGGAATAATATAATTAGCAAAATGTGAATGCAAATTATGCAGACGTGTAAGAGTACATTATTGTTGGAATATTATAATTAGCATTGATTGATAAAAGGCTATTTTTTATTTATTTTATTCACTGAATGTAATGTTTACTACTTATAATTTTTAATCAACTATTAAGCACTATTATAGACGCGTCATCACGTTCATTTGGTGCGAAATGGTTTTAGTTATGAAACTCTATTGTAAATTTTTAAAATTTAAAGTACTGGGAAAAAAATGCGTGAATTGATAAAGTGATATAATATGGTAGGTAAAACACGGATATTTTAAATACTGCTGGGGTTTTTATAGGAGAGGCGTAGTGAGGGGGGGGGGGGAACATATGTCCCCGGTTGCCGACCTAAGGGGGCGCCAAAGTGGGTTGAAAAAAATGTGCGGGGGGGGGGGGGGTGGAAATCGAAAGTTTGAGGGGGGATTTTATGTTATGAGTGTTGTGTTTGTTTTTTCTTTTGTGTTTTTTTTTCGTTCGTTTTTGTTGTGTTTAGTTTTGTTCTGTTCCCCAGTTGGTACATTTAGAAAAGATTTACCGTAGCGGAGCACGGGATGCAGCTAGTATATATATATATATGTATATAGGATTATATACGTATGGAAACATTTTTGACCAATTCCTGGCTACGCCACTGCATTAAAGAGTCTTTTCATCCCGTTAGAAAATAAACCGGGAGTGATCTCCCCTAAACTTTCTCGAATATTCTTATATAAAATAACAGGGGATGGGAACTCGGGCTATAGACATGATTTTTAATCCATTTTAAATACTTAAAGTTTTAAAAATAGAATAAAATCTCGTAGACAAATTAATTGCACACCAAGTGAACGCCAAATAAAAAAGCGCATAATAGTGCGCAATATTATTAGTACCTTTAAAATTTACATTAGTTTTTTGAGAAATCGGAAGTAGCGTAAAGTACTACTTCCAGTCAACGGAAATTACTCAAAATTAAACAGAAGGCAGAGAATTAGATCTTTTACTTACATGTGAAATTTCATTTATCTATCTGAAATAGTACTCAAGTTATAGGCTTTTGAAAAATTCAAAGTAGGAAAAGTACCACTTACGGTTATCGGAAATCGCTCAAAAGTTGATACGGATCTACGATTTTGATAAAATACTTATATATGAAATTTCATCAACCTAGCTGTAACGGTACTCAAGTTATCGTGTTTACACACGGGCAGACAGACAGACACACAGACAGACACACAGACAGACACACAGACATACGGACAAGATTGCAAAATTATGTTTTTCCGTATCAGTGAGGTGTAAAACGTCGAGATTTGTAAAAATCTCGATTTTTTTTTTTTGCACGATTACAAGACTTTCTCTATACTTCGTATATAGAGAAAGTAAAAAAGCAAGACGATTTTATCCCGCATATTCTACCCCCCCCCCCTCCCCATCCACTCTTCGCGAAGACGTATAGTTTCTTAACGGTAGATGCTGTTACTATATGTCTAGAGGCCGCTGCCTTAATGACGTCATTGATTTTCTATCCCAACAGGCCGTTGACCAACTGCAGCGTACAGGTGAGATGCCACGTCACGTTTGTTGTCGAAAGGGAGGTCGCGGCAACCCTAGTCCTGGACCACGTGCACGTGACCTCAGGGTGGGTAGAGTGGACGGTGGGTACGTTGACGTCATAATGATAGAATACAACATTACATTGTGCCATATCAACACCTGCTCCTAGTATCGATTCTAACATTTAACAAAAACATCTTGACTTTTTCAGACATAGACTTGACTTTTTCAGTCATAGACTTCGACTTTTTTTAGACGTAGACTTGACTTTTTCAGATATAGACTTGACTTTTTCAGTCATAGACTTCGACTTTTTTTAGACGTAGACTTGACTTTTTCAGATATAGACTTGACTTTTTCAGTCATAGACTTCGACTTTTTTTAGACGTAGACTTGACTTTTTCAGATATAGACTTGACTTTTTCAGTCATAGACTTGACTTTTTCAGACATATACGACCTTTTCAGTCATAGACGACTTTTTCAGTCATAGACTTCGACTTTTTTTAGACGTAAACTTCGACTTTTTTTAGACGTAGACTTTACTTTTTCAGACATAGCCTTGACTTTTTCAGACGTAGACTTGACTTTATAAGACATAGACTTGACTTTTTCAGACATAGAATTTACTTTTTCAGTCATAGACTTGACTTTTTCAGACATAGACGACTTTTTCAGTCATAGACCGACTTTTTTTAGACGTAGACTTCGACTTTTTTTAGACGTAGACTTTACTTTTTCAGACATAGACTTGACTTTTTCAGACGTAGACTTGACTTTTTCAGACATAGACTTGACTTTTTCAGCCATAGACTTGACTTTTTCAGACATAGCCTTGACTTTTTCAGACGTAGACTTGACTTTTTCAGACATAGACTTGACTTTTTCAGCCATAGACTTGACTTTTTCAGCCATAGACTTGACTTTTTCAGTCATAGACTTGACTTTTTCAGTCATAGACTTGACTTTTTCAGACGTAGACTTGACTTTATAAGACATAGACTTGACTTTTTCAGACATAGAATTTACTTTTTCAGTCATAGACTTGACTTTTTCAGACATAGACGACCTTTTCAGTCATAGACTTCGACTTTTTTTAGACGTAGACTTCGACTTTTTTTAGACGTAGACTTTACTTTTTCAGACATAGCCTTGACTTTTTCAGACGTAGACTTGACTTTTTCAGACATAGACTTGACTTTTTCAGCCATAGACTTGACTTTTTCAGACATAGCCTTGACTTTTTCAGACGTAGACTTGACTTTTTCAGACATAGACTTGACTTTTTCAGCCATAGACTTGACTTTTTCAGCCATAGACTTGACTTTTTCAGTCATAGACTTGACGTTTTCAGTCATAGACTTGACTTTTTCAGCCATAGACTTGACTTTTTCAAACATAGACTTGACTTTTTCAGCCATAGATTTGACTTTTTCAGCCATAGACTTGACTTTTTCAGCCATAGACTTGACTTTTTGAAACATAGACTTGACTTTTTCAGCCATAGACTTGACTTTTTCAGCCATAGACTTGACTTTTTGAAACATAGACTTGACTTTTTCAGCCATAGATTTGACTTTTTCAGCCATAGACTTGACTTTTTCAGACGTAGACTTGACTTTATAAGACATAGACTTGACTTTTTCAGACATAGAATTTACTTTTTCAGTCATAGACTTGACTTTTTCAGACATAGACGACTTTTTCAGTCATAGACTTCGACTTTTTTTAGACGTAGACTTCGACTTTTTTTAGACGTAGACTTTACTTTTTCAGACATAGCCTTGACTTTTTCAGACGTAGACTTGACTTTTTCAGACATAGACTTGACTTTTTCAGCCATAGACTTGACTTTTTCAGACATAGCCTTGACTTTTTCAGACGTAGACTTGACTTTTTCAGACATAGACTTGACTTTTTCAGCCATAGACTTGACTTTTTCAGCCATAGACTTGACTTTTTCAGTCATAGACTTGACGTTTTCAGTCATAGACTTGACTTTTTCAGCCATAGACTTGACTTTTTGAAACATAGACTTGACTTTTTCAGCCATAGACTTGACTTTTTCAGCCATAGACTTGACTTTTTGAAACATAGACTTGACTTTTTCAGCCATAGATTTGACTTTTTCAGCCATAGACTTGACTTTTTCAGCCATAGACTTGACTTTTTGAAACATAGACTTGACTTTTTCAGCAATAGACTTGACACGTGGATGTCTGTGGTTGGCGCCCCACATTGGGTGGTCACCAGTCTGGAGGTCAATGGGTCACTCCACGAGGCCTACACGGGTCAAGGTTATCCGTTCGGATGTTACACCTCGACCTCGGGGGTCAGTTCAAAGGTCATGCAGCCAGCGGGGTTTATGGCTGCGGCTATATATCACAAGGTACTCTAGCTATAGTCGCTGGTTTATATTTATATAACGTGTTTTAATATTAATTTCATAGGAACCAGTTTCCTTCAAACGTCTCTTCGGCGGGTACTGCCTCTTCCCCTCTCCCCTCCCCCCCCCCCCCCCCCCTCCCCGCTTTGCTACGCCTTCCCAGTTAGTGTGATTGTTAAGAAAATATGTTAGCATGAATCTATCAGAAATTTTTTTTTTACATCACAGCAGTGTTTGTTTAGTCCATCTGTCCAAGGCGACATGATAGATAACGACTGCGATGGTCACATTGATGAGGAGTTGCGCAACTTTAAAGGTGAGAGAAACAGTCTTGTGCTAGGCAGGGGGGGGGGGGTCGACACACAAGAGTTTCTTAATTGAAGGGGGGGGGGGTGAGGAATGTGATAGATGAAAATTGACAGACACACGGGTAGTTTTCTTGGAGGGGGAGGGGGGGGGGGTTGATAATTATAATCTAAAGTGCGCTCAAAGTTTAAATATTTTTGTTTTGTTAAGCGCGAGTTTTGATATTTAAATATGATATGAGTCAGACGCACTACCGTCCCATCACGCCATAACTGGATATTTAAAAAAGTAAAAGAAAATGGAAGATTTTATTACAAATTGTAATAATAGTTATTTTGTCTGAACACAATACTTCGACATTTAGCCTATGTGTAAAATTTCCGCTTCCCGTTTTCCAATTACCGGAATATTTCAGATGACGATGGGGATGCTATGGTGGATGAAGATCTGACGCGCGACCCTCAAGGTAAATATGTCTTGCCTACAGAGGGGGGGGGGGGGTGGGGTGGGAGGGGGGGCTGTAAGCTCTAATTAGCATTTTCGTAAAGATTTGATTTTGTTATCAAGTTTTAATTTGGTTTCAAACAGGTCATGTTCATATTCTAAGTTATTTTATTTGTCTCGTTAGCTGAAGTATGTGAGAATCTAATATTAGGCAAAATAACACCATCAAATGTTAGGTGGATCTCCCCCCCCCCCCCCCCCCCTTGTGCAATCTACTGCACCTACGGCATAAGCTTACATTTAAAATCCACCATTTTCTCGGTTGTGCTTATATCCACACAGCACATCCATAAACAATAAGCCACTGCCAAATACCACCTTTTCATTCCGTTTTCTTACACTATATTACCACTAAGGGCGATTACTCTTTGTCAAATCTCCTGCACTATTTTACCCCCGCCCCCCCCCCCCCCCCCCCCAAAAAAAAAGTTGCAAATAATAGATCGTTGAAAGGGGAGCTCACTCCCGCTTTATTTTTCTCTAGTGTCTAGGCCATTGGGAGAATGGAGTTCCTGGACTTGTAAAGAGAACTGCACCAACTCAACATGGATACGTTACAGGTATGTTCCAAACAGAGGCGTAGCAAGGGGGGGGGGGGGGGGGGGGTCGTGGGGTGCGGACCGCACCGGGTGACACCATTTAGGGTGGTGACACCAAGGCAAAAAATAGTAAAATAAATAGAGAAAAATTTGAGGGGGGGGGGGGGGTTGCAAATCGAAAATTGAAAGTTTGTCCCCGGGAAGAGTCGCAACGGGTGACACCCGACCTCGCTACGCCACTGGTCCCAAACGTTAGTTATTGAGATTAACCCTTATCACTTACTATTTAAAGTTAACAACTTTTTATGAAGTTTCGTTTTGGTCAGAATTTTTATATTTTTAATATATTATTTACCTTGTTATATTTTACTAAATTTTACTTTACTATGTACATTTATTTATTTGTTTGTTTTTTAATATAACACTAGATTTAAGTATTATTTGTGAGATTTTCTTATAAGAATTTCTAACTACCATGCTAACTTACAACGTTTATGTAAATGTAATTTCTAAACTAAGTTTCAAATACCATCTTTGGGAAGAGGTGGTATCACATGAACAACACTGTAATAAAGTTGATGTCAAAAGCGTCTATTCTTTTTATATCTAAACATCGCTGACTTTTTTTTACTACTGCATCGATTATTTAAATATCACGGATAATGTTCTTGTGGTATCGATTATCATAACGTCACATATACTTTTAATAGGGTTTAGATTATCACAATAACACATACACTTTTGTTGCAGTTGTGTTTGTGTTGTGTTGTGTTTGTGTTGTGTTTGTGTTGGTTTGTGTTGTGTTTGTGTTTTCTTTTCTGTTTTCTTTTGTGTTGTGTTTGTGTTTTTTTTTTGTGTTTGTGTTTAGCTTTGTTCTGTTCCCAAGTTGGTATATTTAAAAAAAGATTCACCGTGGCGATTATAATATCACATACAATTTTATCTAAACCTCACACAAAACTTTGTATTACGTCATCGATTCTCTAAATTTTTCTACGGATTCAATTATCTAAACAAAATGGAAAGCTCTATCCCGGTATCGATTATCCCATAGGAGCTGCAGCAGCCCTCAGCTGCCCGGGGAGGGGCTGGGCTGTGAGGGTCAGCTGGAGGAGACCAGGGCGGGGCTGTGTTTGACCCCATGCGTGCATCAAGTCACAGGTAGGCACGTGTAGAACTGCTCATGATTAATAAGTTATTAAACGATCATTAGTGACAGTGTAAGGTTTATAAGGACATGCTTACAGCGATACTGTGTCTAGAGGAAGTAGAGTTTGTCTGGGTTAAAAGATGTCTTGTGTGTACACTGTAATGAGATATCAAGTGCTTTTTGGCTGCTTTCAATAGGGTTTTTTTTTTTTTTGCTTATTTGCAACTTGTTCTTTTTA